CGGACTAGCTGAAAATCAAAGTTTATCATAAGATTAGTCTAAAATTTGATATCAACTTATGAGACATTTGTATAATTAAAAGTAATACAATAGAATGCTTTCACTAATTTGTGAAGCTCAATAATATCACTTTTTTCAAGAACAAAATCAAGCAATCACTTAAAGAAAAAAAAAAGGGTGTTATTTAATTTTATTTCATTCGAAAGCCACTACATTATACTTCAAAGTTGGGTTTTTTTTTAAAGTTTTTGAAAGATAAGGGTGTCACATAGTGCGAAATGAAATGAGGGGATGGCAATATGTTTTGAAGCATTGGTTTCATAATTGATCATTAACAGTGGGTGTGAAAAGAATTTTCAGACTCATACTTTAATAAAGATAAAAAATAATACGCTCACTTTACAATTTTCAAGATCACTTCAGACTAAGGTAACTAAATAACTTAAAACTTGTTATTAGATAGTATAATTAGACCAAATTACAAGTTAAACTTGTTGTTTGAAAATAAAAGATGTACGGTCAATGTCTTGTTTGTGGTAGACTGGATAATCCAAAAAATTAGATCAATTCAAATCTAACTACCGTTATAAATTTATTTGAGTTGAATTGAGTTCAAATAAATCAAAACTTTATAAATTGATTGGTTCATCTATTTAGCTCAAACTAAATTGGGTTGAACGGACCAAACTCAAATTTATCGTTAATTTTAAAATATAGATTTTGTTAAAGATTCCATTATCTATATATGTACTATGAAGTTTTTATTTAACTTCATACCTAATTTTTTATTATTTATTCTTGGATCCTTCTTTAAAATAATTTTTTAATTATTTAGAAGATAATTTTTTAAAAAATATATTGAGAGTGAGTACTAAAATTTAATTAAATGTTTGAAAATAAGTTAATAGATGTTTTACGGAGTAATTTTATTTAAAATAAAAATTTGAATAGACAACCTGAACCCACAAAATCTAAAATTTTTATGGTTGAGTTAAGTTCATTGTTTAATCCTAATTGATTTAGTTGAAAAAAATTTATAATCACAATAATTGAATTAGGTCTAAAAAAATGTCTTAACTGAATCCAACTCAACCTAGGAACACTAGTAGTTTATTGATTTAATCTTTGCACTTACAAAAAGTATCCAATAAGCCAATAAACTAATCTCGGGTAGCATTCTATGTTTTAACATAATCAATAGATATATAAACATTAAGATGATGGAGTTAACCTCGAAGGATATATAAATTTAGAGGCTAAACATACTATTCAATATTGAAATTTATGTTAATATTCCTTGGCCTACCCATTTTTGAGTAAGGTGTAAAAGATGGACAATTTTGAGTAAGGTGTAGAAGATGGACAAAATAGGGCGAAAATGAAGGGGTAGTGGAAACCTAAAAGGATCCCATTCATCAAATTCCAACAAGGACTTCCATTGGCATTAGTTTTAGGTCTTCATGCATATTAACTTTGTCATCTCCTTGTTCCTCTACCGACAAAAAGGTATACTATCCTCTATCCAACCACTCAAATAACGCATGCGCTGCAATGCCATTTTTAGGTTTCTACTTTTTCCAAAAATTTATCCACATTTGATCATTTTCATTCTAATAAAAAAAAAACAAAAAAAAAACCACTTATTGACTTGCTTTTCGAGAGTCTCGAGCCACATATTGTTACTATTAACAAGAATTTTAAGACAACTCGATAATTTTGATTAATTTTAAAATATGCATGTAGTAAAATTTATTTCAAATAAATCAATAAATGTACCATCAAAATCATGTACATGACAAATCATCAGGAGCCAAACATCGAGACTCGAATCTATCTCGACCCTATAGCTCATATACGTCTTTGCCTAGGCTACGCAGTTTGGTGTCATGTTTGAAAGGAAGAATAACACGAGTATAAAAATATTCAATAAGTAGCTTACTTGTACGCTATTCTTAATTTATTCTTAGATCTTATTTCATTAATATATACCTATATGTCATGTATCTAAGTCATAAGCTCTCCTACACTAGCATCTTGATTTACTAGGTTACCTAGTCAATATACGGTTCATTAATTTTCATTGCTGTCTCATTAAAGATATCTGGGGGATCTAGGATGATTTAATTAACTCTTTACTAGTCTTTTCATTTGTGATATGTCTATATATCATAGGCACTCGAGGAGTGACCTTATCATGGTTGCAACTTATAATCTCATTATACAATATAGACATTATCAATCTAGATAGATTCTTTATTAGAAATTAGTTGACAAGTCTTTATCCAGACCCATAATGGAGGGAGTAGCCTTCATACTAGACAACCTATCATACACTAAAAAATAGTTGGATATCTCCTAATTGCCCCACACGATATACTTATGGCACAATAAAGTCCATACGTCTTAGAGCTCAACCCTAACTATGCCAGTACAAATGCAGACCCATCGATCGAAATAAGTTCACTATTAAAAGTTAATTGGCGATCATCTAATAGTTCTCACATTGTACAATCATCGTAGGTGAGAGACCCACATCATAGTAAGCTACTAATGGTACAATGCAGACCCTCATCAATCTTTCTCAATGAAATTCAACGTGTTCAAATTCTGGTCACTTATACACCAAAAACTTTTGATTAAAATATATTTATGTCCCAGAAAACAATAGTTTTTGTGATATAACGTCATAGTTTTTTTTAATATAAAAGTTTAGACTCCATTCAAAATGAACAATGATTATGTATGTACCTAAATACATCCACAAGACACTATCTTAAACAACTTGAGAATGTTGAGCAATGTCAGCATCCGCTCATATCTCAGCCATATCTTTAGTGCTTAAAAGTTCCAAAAATTTAAAAAAAAAAAAATTTTTTTTTTTTAAAGATTAGGAAAAATAATTAATGATAAGGTTGACCTAATTCTACGATTAAAGCAACTTGAATAGCACTTCAATCATACAGGTAATGGATTTTACAGTGTACAGATTACTATATTTATTAATCCACCAATTCATTTATGGGTAGATATTTTTAATTAATCTTTTTCTATTAAAAGTTACTTAATACAAAATTAAACCAAAAAATAAATCAAAACCTAATATACTGACCCACTTCTTTATTTATATTATTTAATTACAAGGGGAAGACCTCTTTTTTTTATAAATATTATTACTTTTTTTTTTCTTTATTGTACAACAAATATTTCTACCTTTTCAACTACTTATGATGCCCAATATGAAATATAATAGATTACCCTCTTAATGAGGATTATATATTTTTGGTGCATGTTAATCATGCATTAATTTAAAAATTAAGATATTAATCAACATGTTTTGAACTAAAAAGTATATGTTTTGCAGATGTGATAGTCCCATGGTTCAAAATTATAAGATATAAATTATAATGTTTTTTTATGCGATATTTTTTCATATATTTTCTTTAATTTTGGAGTAAATTGAAATAAATTTGAAGACAAAAAAAAAAAAAAAAGTTCGCTAAACTTAAAAGAAGAAAAATATATACCATTTTTACTTGATAACAATGTTAAATTTATATTAGGGAGAAGAATGTGGCTTGTAAGCAAAAGAAAAAAAAGAAAAAAAAGAAAAAATGTACATTGATGTCGTGCTTATTGTATCAGCTCTAATGCTTAAGTAGCACATAGAATTTTGAGTCTAACGAGAGTTTGTGGAGGGTAGAATTTACCTTCTCTAGATTAAAAATATGTACTCATTTGCCTTTACAAATTAAGTTAAAGATGGGCCGGAAGAGATTGAGTCTCGTTACAACATGTTAGATAAATGCATGAAACGTCTCCTTTGTGGGACTAAACAGAGGGTCATGACCTCATGCCAACCGTTGAGTTTGGACTTCAACAAAAAAATTTCTCTTTCTCGTTTGCCACAATATCTTATCATTTTGGTATCGTTGGAATTTTAATTTTGAATTTTTCTTATTAATCTTGCCTTTTATTAACATTAGTCCTCACTTCCTATACTTGATTTTATTGTGAAAATTATGATTTTTTCTTTTTTAAGGAAAATATTAGGTTGCACATAGGTAAACATTATAAAAACTTTGTAACATTAACTAATTATGGTGAGAAAATTCTAAATTGCAAATAGTTATTCACAAATTTGTTCACACAACCACACCAAGCAAGAACACAAGAACAAGTAGGAGAAATCCCAACCTTTCATGTTTATCCTTGTACAAATACTCCACAAAAAAAGGAATGGAATCAAAATCCACATCATTAAGTGTCCCAAACTTAAATATTTTTCTTAATCAATCCTTCAACTTTTAGAGAAAAATACAACTTAACCCACCTTGAAATCTAGCTTATGAACTTTTCTCTTCATTTCCGGCGTTAACCATCACTTCTCCGACCACTTCCGATGACTACCCACTACAACTTCCATGAGTCTTAAGATTCTTTAAAGTTCACTTGAGAATCACTCACCCTTTGTTGGCAACGACTTACAAGCCCATCAACATGACAGGGAAGCCTAGCAAAACCGCTATCCCATACTTGACTAGGCACACCACCCTAATAGACGCGTTTGTAAACTTTAAGATTGGAAGTGATATGTAATAGATGAAAACAGACAACATCTCTTAAGAGTAGGTTAAGCTGTTACAGATTTTTTTTGTCTGAATGAAATGCTACGATCCATGTTGAGATGTTCCATTCTAACGCTTGAGTTAATCTTAACACTACAATAAAACATAAAGTGCATGGATTTTGTTGGCGTTTCATAATGTTGCAACTGAAATGTGCATTCACTTTGGTGGTCAAATCAAGGCATGGCTGATTTGTTTCATATGATAGTTAGGTAAAGCCCAAAAAAAAAAAAAGAGGTGTTAAATTAATGGCATGCAGTACTGATAGGCACCACAATCCCAAACTTTGTAATTTAGAACCAGAAAAATGTAGACCCCACATGCGTTCCCACTTCCACTACCCAACCTCCAAATTTCCAACCTTTCTTATATATAAACCCTATTCCACACTTTGCCCTCTAAATCTCAACCAAATCCATCCCTTCTTCCAATAATGGCCGCCATCTCCATTACCAACCACCACGCCCGTGCCTTGTGGTTCAGGCGCCTAGCCTCCGCCTTCCGAACCGCACTTGCCTGCACTGTAGTCGCCTACACCACCTTGTACGGTCCGCCTCCTCTCCGCCGCCAGGTGGCTTTTCCAGCTTTCTCTTATCTTACAGCTATGCTCATAGTCACCAACGCCTCCCTTGGTGACACCATTCGTGGATGTTTTCTCGCCCTTTTTGCCACTGTCCAGACCGTTTGTCCGGCTATGTTTCTGTTTTGGTTCATTGGGCCCACTAAATTCTCCCATCTCACCATTGCCATCACGGTGGCGTTGGCTTCTATTGTGGTGGTGCTGCCCACCTCCACCCATGTGCTCGCTAAAAAGATCGCCTTGGGTCAGATTGTACTTATTTACGTTGTGGGTTTTATTGGCGGCGCTGAAACTGACCCTCTAATGCACCCTCTCCACGTTGCCGCCACTACCGCCTTGGGCGCCGCCGCCAGTGTCTGTGCCACGCTGCTTCCCTTCCCACGCCTTGCTTCTCTTCAGGTATCGATATAAACCCATTTTCTCTATTCCATTAATATTCATTTGATTTTGAAGGATTATTATTTTGTAGCTTCCCCTATTCATTTCAGTTCATTTTGTACCGTTAAGAGAGTTGAATTCACAAATAAGGAGGTCATTATGGGAAGGAAACAAATATATATACTTTTTTATCGCCCATTTTCATACTGGAGTGACCATGAGAAATCAATCTTTTTTCTTCCTTTAAATACTAAATAATTATTGCCCATTCTTACCCTTTTCATTTCAAAATATAATCTGTGTTATCTTTTCTCAACTTTTTCATCCTTCTAGCTAGAGGTTTCAACACGGCTTAGAAAGGGTGTTTCGTTCTCTTCACTCATGTGGGATCTCGCAATCCACACACCCCTCCAGGACCTAGTGTTCTTGTTAGCACTCGTTCCCTTTTCCAATTGATATGGGACCCCCCAAACCCACCTCCCTTCAAGGTGATATGGGATCTCACAATCCACACACCCCTCCAGGACCTAGTATTCTTGTTAGCACCCTTTCCCTTTTCCAATCAATGTGGGACTCCCCAAATCCACCTCCCTTCAACGTCTAGTGTTCTTGCTGGCACACCGTTTTGTATCCACCCCTTTGGGCCCTTGTGTCCACCCCTTTGGCGCTCAGCTTACTCACACCCTTTTGGGGCTCAGCTTCCTCACATCGTTCAGTGTCTAGCTCTAATACCATTTGTAACGGCCCAAGCCCACCACTAGCCGATATTCCTCTCTGAGTTTTTTCTTTCGGGTTTCCCCTCAAAAATTTTAAAACACATCAGTTAGGGAGAGGTTTCCACACCTTTAAATTTTTAAAAACACATTAGTTAGGGAAAAGTTTCCACACCCTTAAATTTTTAAAACGCATTAGTTAGGGAGAGGTTTCCACACCTAAATAGTTGTTAAAGATAAGCGTTTTTATGACTGTTAGTATCTAATTAATTTTAATTTGATTTAGTTCGTTTACTAATTTGTTACTAGATTAGATTCGGCAGATTTTTATCGAGATTTTTTAAAATCTTTTCATATTCTCTATATATAATCTTCATAATATAACTCTCCCCATCAACTCTTCATTTATTAAAAATTTCATTCTACCAGAGCCAGAGATTTTAGAGTATTATATGAACTAAAGAGAAATATTTTTTGTTCTAAGAAAAGAAAAAGGCTAATAAAACACAAAATTGTTATATGGTGAAGGTGAAAGAGAAAAGCAAAGAAGTGGTGGAGAACATGATAGAAAGGCTAAACCTAATGGTGAAGGCAATCCTTACTCACGATGACTCATTGGCTGCTGGGTCCATTTCTAAAGCTCGCCTACTATCTTCATCAGCCTCCAAACTCCTCCACTCCATACAACATCACCAAGTAAACACTTCATTTTTCATCCCCAATCTTCAATTTTTAAACAACTTACCAAACATTAACATTACCTTTCTTCGTATAACTCGAATTAACAGGAAAGCAAGCCATGGGAAAGGCTTCCATTCAAAATCTTCAAGCTAGGATGGTTAAGCAATAGCGAAAGACTACAAGAATTAGAAAAGGCCTTAAATGGAATGGAGTTAGCTTTATCCACAATCCCTTCATACCCAATTGAAAAACTCCAAAACCAAACCCTTAAACATGACCTAAATGCTTTGGACAACCAAATCTCCCTTGCATTAAAGCAAGCCAACGCTTGTTCATTGTCTGATTCCTTGACTTTCCCCGTAGATGACACACACAACACCCTCAAATCCATACAAATTATGCCCACAAATCAACAAGATTTACCCCATCTTTTCTTCATCTTTTGCATGAAACTCCTCCAAACTAAATCCCAAATCCAATGGATAATGCCAAAAAACAAAACATGGGTTTCCTCAATGAACACCCAATGGCTAATGCAAGCCCTCAAATTTGCAATTTCATTGGGAATTGCAGTGTTTTTGGGGCTAATGTACTGCAAGGAAAATGGGTTTTGGGCAAGCTTGGCAGTGGCTGTAAGCATTACATCAGAGAGAGAAGCAACATTCAAAGTGGCCAACGTTAAAGTTCATGGAACCATGTTGGGATCCGTATATGGAATATTGAGTTTTGTTATCTTCAAAGAGTTTTTATTAGGAAGGCTTCTTTGTCTTCTCCCTTGGTTCGTTTTCACCAGCTTTCTACAGCATAATAGAATGTATGGTTCCGCCGGTGGAGTCGCCGCCCTCGTCGGAGCTCTAGTCGTTTTAGGACGAACAAACTACGGTGCTCCGGGGGAATTTGCTTTCGTTAGAACAATTGAAACTTTTATTGGGATATCCATTTCAGTGGTGGTGGATATCATTTTACAGCCAACAAGAGCTTCCAAAATGGCTAAAATCCAACTCAATTTGAGTTTACAATCGCTACAAAAGTGCATTGAGTCATTGAATTTAAGATCAGATTTGGAAGAGAATGAAAGAGCTTTAAGAATTCAAGTTAATGAGCTAAAGAAGTTGATCGAGGAGGCTGAGGTAGAACCCAATTTTTGGTTTTTGCCATTTCATAGCAATAGCTACTCGAAGTTGTTGAAATCCTTGTCAAAAACGGTGGATTTTCTTGCGTTTAGTATTGATGCAATGAAGAATCTTAAAGAGGAGGTTGTTGAAGACTTAGAGGGTGATATTGAGAGATTTAAGGAAATGATGAAGTTGTTAGTATCATGTTATGTTGATATGAGTTCATTGAAGTGTTTGAGAGTTGTGGAAAATGAAGGGGAGAAGGTGGAGAATTGTGATGATGTTGAGATGGGTGAGGGAAACAGGATTGAAAGAGATGAAATTGAGAAGGAGAAGTTGATAAATTGTTTGTTAAAGCACTCGGTGGAGATTGTTGATGAGGTTGGTGAGGGTAAAGATGATAGAAGTGATGTGATATTGAGTTTGAGTGCTGTGGCGTTTTGCTTGAGCAGTTTGATGAGGGGGATCGAAGAGATTGGTGAGGCACTTAGGGAACTTGTTCAATGGGAGAATCCTTCTTCCACTCATCTTGATTTTGATGCTATTATTGTATCTCGGATTCATATTGTAAAAAGTTAAAGCAAATTAAATGAACTTTGACATTTCCTAAAGATTTGTGATGATCTAAAAGTATTAATTTTAAAAAATAAAAGGTATAGTTTACAGTAAAAAAAATGATCGTTTGAGATTATGTAACAGCTCAAGCACACAACTAGTAGATATTGTTCTCTCTCAATCGATGTGGATCGCACAATCCATCCCTTCAGGGCCCAGCATACTCACTAGTACTCGTTCTTCTATATGGGATCTCATAATCCACTCCTCTTCAAGATTCAGCGTCTTCAATGACATATTGTCTAGTATCTGGCTCTCATACTTCTCTCCCAATCGACATGTTTATTAATCGTAAAACTCTTTGATGACATTATTTTGTCAAATGATAATGTCAATCGACGTGTTTATTAATGGATGTGTCAAATGACTTAGAAGAAAATGAATAGTAAAACTCTTGGATGACATTATTTTGTTGTGCTTATATTTTCGGTGGCTCAATCAATAGGAACTTCATGGTCAAACATGGTTTACTTAGAGTAATTCGATGTTGGGTGACCTCTTAAGAATTTTCCTATAATGCATGTGAGTGACAACACGCATACAAAAGGATTCTTATTGGTTTGTGTGGATAGTCTTCACGTCACAACGGATGTTGGGAACATCAAAACCATCAAATACAAAATCTAGATTCTAAATCTTGATCTAAATCTTGAGCATAAACAGTTACATGCTCATGATTAATCATAAACTATTTCAGTGTTATTCATATGAATCATAAACACATATTATTAGTTAGAATCTATAAATATTTGATCATTACAAGATGAATGGGTTATAAAGAGAAATTTAATTACATTTGGGTATGAAAGTGATAAACACAAATCACTTGGAATAAAATCGTAAAGCAGGAAAATGACATGAAATCCTACTTTTTTATGAAATATCTAAACAAATAAAATCCCAAAAGATCTGTTGAATAAATAATATCAAAAGAACAGCCTCTAAAATATCTTAGCTCCAATCTATAAAAGACAATATCCTTAAAAAAAATCAATAATAGAGCCGAAACTTCTTAATAAAATATCAACTTGGTACGGTGATGAACAATGGTAAGATAGACACAAATATACAAAATAGTGTTTATGAGCAAAACAAAATTTGTTTAATGTGACCGCCACATTCACTCGTATCACCTTTTATTCTTACATGTATGACTAATAATATGAATTTTAATTTGTCTCATAGTATAAAATTATTGAATATTTTTTCTGATACAGTCACCATATAAGGCATGGCAATCTGTGCAACCTTAGGGTGGGTATGAGTAGCTATTATGCACGGAGCAACGTCCATATATATGTGTTCATATTATAAATCTTGTACGTTTAGAGAAAATGTGAGATCCCACATTGGTTGGAGAGTGAAACGAAACATTTCTTATAAGAGTGCCTAACCGATGCGATTTAAAACTTTGAGAAGTCTAGAAGGAAAAATCTGAAAATAACAATATTTGCTAGCTGTGAGCTTGAGTTATTACCAATGGTATTAAAGACGGTGTGCCACCACACACACACTCCATGTAAGAGTGTGGAAACTTTTCTCTAGCCTATGTGTTTTGAAACTTTGAAGGAAAGCCCAATTTTTTTAAAATTTTTTGAAGGGAAGCTCGAAAGAAAAAAGACAATGAGTTTGAGAATAGATATTTGATGTTTGGGCTCGAAAACGTTTGTTTGTTTTTTTTTTTTTTTCTCTCGCAGCATCCAAATTGCTTTAGTTGCTGGGTTGACTATCTTAACCCATTCAAATGCATGTGTTTTCTAAAAGTCCTCCCTTTTTTTTTTTCCTCAAGTTGTTTTGTTTTTTTTCTCCACTTTTCCCTATTTTTATTTTTATTTTCTTTTTCTATTTGTTGTTTTTTTAATATGATTTTTTTTTAATTTCTTTCCTTATTTGTGTTTCATATTGGTTATAAATTTTTTAGCTTGTTTCTTTTTCTTCAATCATTTTTATTTCGACTAGGGTTTTGTGGTTTCCTTTTTGTTATTTGTTTTCTTTCTTATTTTTGTTAAAAAATATTTTTGATACGATATAATAAATTGAAATAAATGTATTTTAGTTGGAATGAATGACATAAATTAATTATATTTAATTTTTAAAGTATAACGTGTATAATTAATTCTTCAATTTAGTTATTATAATAATTATTTATGAGTAAAAGTTTATACTATGACACCCCGTAAGGAAAGTGTACATAATTAAACTAAAACCACATCCGAATGAAAGCGAGGATAAGATGACTAAAAAACGCTTAAAGAAAAAAAAGTTACTATTTGTATTAATAATGCGCATCTTCCTTTTTCAACCGTTCAATTCTAGGAAGTTAATGGTTTAGCGTACTTCGCTTGTGATAATTCTATGTTGGGTGAACTCAACGGGGCAAAAGAAATGTCTCCACTCGCTGCCAACAGTCTTTCTTCGGAATTCTACTGAACGGGTCGATCCTCCCTTCCCGTTTGTTTTAGCAACTTCTCCTAAGGTCTCTTCACCAAGAGCTCCCCGGCGACGACAGAGGAACCAACCCGCCTGCTGTGACGGGGCGGCCTTTTTCTTTCACAATAAGAGACCTAGACGATTATCCCTACCATCTGTAGCTTACGAGTTTAGTGAAAATTTTACTGCGATGCATGCGAGTGAGAATAAAGACAAAACATGCCAGAATGAATTCTATATGTTGATATGTAAGAATAGTCTTCAATCTTAAAATCAAGAAATAAGTAACGTGACCATGTCATAGAGCAATATCAAGGACCATCAAGTGTCGAATCCAAATTTCAAATCTTAGACATGAGTGGTTACATATATAGTTAAATAAACTAAAAATGTGGGAAGAATTTGCAGTAAACAAATAAAAGTAAAAATATTATTTATTTACATAAATTTTTAAAAATATTCTACATCTATTTAATTTCCAGATATTTTATTCTCAGACATGAGTATCTCAATCAAATATCACCCATTACTTTCACATGAAGCATATTAAGATACCTTAATTGACAAAGTACTTCTCAAAAACATTTTTTTTTTATGTTATTCTCAAATGAAAGATTTTGATTGAGTATTCCAAAAATATATATATTTTTAATCTACCAAAAGCACATCTAATTAAAATGTAATGTGTATTTTTTTTTTTTTTTTAAAAAAAAGGCAAAACATAGCATAAAGAAGAAGAATTAGGATGAATAAATTAATGCAATCTGAGAAGAAAATAAAGGAAATGAATAGTGGAAAGACCTAATTAGTTGAGCTTTATTTGGTGACATAAGAGGTCAGCTTCCATGGCTAAGGAACCCCACGTTTGGTGTTTTAAGTATTTTAATTCTAACTCATTTGCCTGTGGATGTCAGCTTTCTCAAAAGTCCTTTATTTATTTATTTACTTAACAATGAAGATAGAGATGGACAAAAATTGTGGCCCCAAACTACGCAGCACCCAACCTCCTACGTATTGCACTATAAATGTTTCCCATTTTGATTCCCTAAATAAAACTTTATAAAACCTCCAATAACAAAATATTTAATATTTATTTCATGTCATATATATATATATATATATATATATATATATATATTTGTAAGTGTTCAAACATTCTTTCATTTTTATCTTTCCATCTTTTCAGAAACACTTTAAAATTATACTTTTAAATCAAATTCATTTTTTTTAATTTTAGAGATTTATCTAGATATGTTCTATAAAATTCAAAGCTTTAATGGCATTTAATTTTATTTTTAGGTTTATTCCAATGAGTATCTAGAATGTCTATTGTTGTTATTTTAAATTTTAGAATAAAAACCTAACTATTTTGTTCCTCTTCTGATACCTATTGAATCAATATACTTATCTTCAATTTGATCTTGTAAAAGAATACTCGTTATAGATATCTACTAGAGGATAATGTAGCAACAATAATCACTCCCATGTTTTTTTTATGTTTTAAAAGTTTAATGACTAAACTAGATTAGAAAAAAAAAAAAAAATATCCGTGACATTAGTTCTTATTTGATATTGTATAATAACCTAGGATCAAGATTTAAAATCTGGATTTGCCACTTGATTGTTCAACGTTCTCCTTCATCTCCATTGATATGATAACGTTACATATTCCTCACTTCTTAAAAGTGAAGACTATCCCCACGGACAAGAAGGATGGTGCATATTATTAATATAGATAGTAACTTTCATTTTCATTAACCTTTTCTTAGTCATCTTAAGATAAGATGACTCTTATTTAAATGTGGTATCATTATAAGCATACAATGACAATTTTTAATAATGTCACATGATGAATGTCAAATACATACCCAATCATGGATGTTAACAATGCGACATTGTAGATTAAATGAATGATAGTTGTAAAGAGACATCTATCTAAATATGGAGGCGACCAACTACAAGAATTATAACTCATATAACATAGCTGAAAGTTTCTCTATCCATATCTCCAGCATATCATCCCTTAATTACTCCATAGGATTAAAAAATTGAAGGTTACTATTTATACCAATAAATACCTCCTTCCCTTTCAATATCTTGATCATGAGAATTTCAAAACTAAATAGGATTAATTTAGAACAATTTTATTTTAGGTGTCCCTATTACAATTTTTGTGATAAAAAACATGTGAATGAGAAAAACGATTTTGAAAGGAGTAAGACTCATGTTGATCTGATAAGATAGTTCTCACTCTTAGAAGCACTTCAAGACAAGTAGGCCATGTGACCATTAGACAGGCGCACCTTATTTGGTAATTTGACCACATTACCAACAAAGTGCATCTTTAAGACAAGTAGGTGTCGAATAATTCCAAATCCTAGTTTGAATCCTAAACCTGAGATGTTAGAAATGATATCATAGTGGGACATCTTCCATAAGATGTAGATCAAAGACGAATCAAGATAAAAGCGGATAGGCACGTTACCGCGATTATATGAGAGTAAACGATGAAATAAAGAAAAATAAATTAATTTAAAAATGAAAAATGGTAGGCGTACATAATTTG